TTGACAATCGAGTTGTGGCGAATAATTTTGCCTTGTTTAATTAAATTTAACTTTGACTGCCTCGATCCGTTGTCAGTACAGTATATCAATTGCTGTCTGCTGGCGTTATTGGCTTCCTTCAGACCATGTCAATTGTTGCCCGTTGTTGTGAAAATTAGACTGAACTTACCGAATCTCGTTTATAATATTTAACTAAATAGTTTTTCAATTTTTTCATAATATTTCCAAAAATTATATTTAATAGTGAACACTGTGAGCACATTACTTCTACCTTATGTTTTGATGCAATAAGTATTTGATGAACCATACTAACTTATTAAACTTCAAAATGGCTAATTAGTTACTGGAAAATTTTTAACAATGCATTAAGTTCAAGGATATTTTTGGCTTTTAATTTCACTAATAGTTTCCAACAATTGGTAATCTTATTTTTTTCTTTTATAAATAGTCAATGATGGTCAAAGTGATTTCAATGTATATTACCACAAACAAAAGCGACAGCGACCATTGTAAAAACTATTTATTGATTCGTAATAAACAGTTTAGGTACAACAATATTATCACGTAGTTCAAACTGTAATTCAAAACTTTGAGAGACCATTAATATTTTGTTTTTATCTCATATCTTGTTTCTTTATTTTAATAGTTGTTGCAATAATTTCTTTTTCAGCTTATGTGTAAAGGAATATAAAAATTAATTATTCTTATTATATATTAATTATTGAATATTAATTATTCGATCTAATGATATCGGTAAATAAAAAATTACAAAGATAGCATATTCAAAGTGTATGTTCTTATTTTATTATTATTATATTATTAAATAAATAAGTTGAATATTGATTGCAAAGTAAAATTAAGTGAAAAGATATTTATCAATCAAAAGGAAATAAGTCTGGAGTATTGATAATATTTAGGACAAAACTGGATTGTGTATTTTGTCCAATATTTCCTAGATTATTGAATTACCTGGATTAAGCAGATTTAAGAATAAAAGTTAGAATAGGAAGTAAAAGAGAGGTATAACTGGTTTTGGCAGAGAAACCGGAAATATAAGATCTTTATGTAGACTTAGATGAAGTTGAAAAGATAATATTAAAATGGACTTGAGAAAACTAAGGAATGAGCGAACTTTCTAGATAAATAATCTTAAAAGATATAATCATAATAATGATAATGATAACAGTAATTCACATGCATAGAAAATATTTTAATTTCAATTTGAGAAAGTATTAATAAGTTTATTTACTAATATATAGTTTTTCGTAAAATAATTTAGCCAGTTATTGAGAACTTCTATTATTTGATAGTTTAATATTCTTTGTCATCTTTATATTTCTTCCATGTAATAATTAAATGGCTACTTTGCTTATTTGACAATCAATCATTGTTTTTATAAAAACTTTATGATTTTACTATTACATAAAATATATATTTGGAATATTTATGGTAAAGCCTTAAAATTCTTATCTAAGCAATATGACATTAAATTTTCATTATCACTGTAAATCCTTGGTATTATTTACTAGTAAAATTTATTCTATATTTTTAATTCCTTTCTTAAAATCAATAAGTTATATTTATACTTAATAACATATTGTAAGATAAACAAATAAATATTGAGAAATTAAATTTCAACTATGCAAGTTCTTACTAAAGTGTTTCATTAAAAATTAATATTAAATATTTCTTTTATATAAAATTGAGTCAATAATATTTAATCGATCCTTTATCTTAGAATTTTATTTCGACAAATGTTAAATGAATCATGCTTTATATTATTCATTATTTGTTTTATGGGTCTACGCAAGTGTCAAATATCATGAAAGTGCATACAAATATTTCACCTTAATACAATATATATTTAGGATTTAGAAAATTTATTTTAATTGAAGATAAGAAAATTATTTAGAATTTAAATTGAGCCCGGCATTAACAAATAATGGAGAATTATATAAGCGGATGGCGCTTGTGCTTTTAAAAGTTATTTTGGGAACATGGAAACACTATGTAGATGAATTTAAAAATGATCAAGTGAGTTGAATTTAGCTGTGAAAAGCTTAAGTATGGAGACATTTTTTTAAGTCGCGGTACAGAGTAAGGCACGCGCTTGAGTAAAGTTCTCTGAGAATAGAAGATCTAATTTGGTAACGTATGCGTTAAGTTTCTGTGCACGCGAAAAGGGCAGAAAAAAAAGAAATAAGGGTGACCACCCTGATTGCAATTTTAAGGCTGATTCACTTTTCTGCGGCAACAGTTTTCTTCACTGTGCCACTCTCAGATATTTTTCCATAATAAAAGTTTTGTGATTTTTTTCGAACACTTAATTGATCACCCGAGACTTTCGAGTGTTTTAAATGCGATTGCGTAAATTCTCAAATGGAAGGCTGATTCGAGTAAAATTTTGTTAAGTAAATTGTAGAAAAGCCAATGTGAAAAAATTAAGATGAAAGAAATAAAGCTTTGATTGAGCTAGCATATATTGTCTTAAAAAAATATTATTAAAAATAAAAAGGCATTGGATAAAATGACAAGTTTTAAAAATTCTACTTGTAATTACGAACAAGCATTTCTGACATAATCTTTATGATGCCAATAATGAAATTTATGCAGAAATCAGAGTATACAAAATTGAAGCTAATTTCAATGTTTCTTGAGATGGAGAAAAGTCAACAACTGCGTTGACTAATTATCCTACTTGTGTAAGATCTCTAAAAAAAACTCCAACGAGTACTGCATTATAAATTCATACTAAACAAATATTAGAAGCCATTATTTATAGCAAGTTTTTCTATATTCTTATATTGTGAAATATATTGCAACAAGGATAGTCTAGATTCCTCAATTAAGACATCGTCTTATAGGATGTAACTTATTATCCAGCTAATTTGCGACATCATTAAAATTATTAAATTAATTTTTCAGTGCTAAGTAATTTAAAGGAATATCATCATGAACGTCTTTGATAGCAAAAAAAATGTTGCTATATATCGTATATTAAATAAATAATTTTATTATATGAGAATTTACTTATACTTCCAGAGATTGGATACGGAAATTAAAGAACTTCTGTTTTTAATTTCACTTATTCCATTCATTTTTCATAAACATCAGGTGTAATTTATCTAAATTCTACAATACTATATTAATTATAATAGTAATAGGCTTATAATAATGAGGTAATTAATAATAAATTATATTGTTACTAGTATTATTATATTAATGATCTTCAGTTAGTTAATAATGTATTACAATTTGCTAATAAATATGTTAAATATGTGACTACTTATTTCCTTTTCTTTCAAATTATATATATTTTTATTTATTTATTTATTACTTTACTAATTTTAAACAATTATTATATCTTTAATATGGTATTAGAATTTTACATTAATATAAAATGAGATTGCATTATTCAATTCAAGAAATACAATATTAAAGACTAACAATAATTTTGCTTGAAAAATATAATAAAAAAGAATTATTTATTTGCCTTAGCGAATGAACTACGTCAATATCTTCATAATAATATAAATTTGCTGTTTGTTTATAATAATAAAAATTTAATTTACAATTAAGTACTAGGAAAGCTTACGTGCATTCGATCGAGCCTTACCCACTCGTCTGATTTATTTTTTGTATATTACAAAGATTGACAAAATATAAATAGTAATAATATTTAAAATGTATATTTAAATATAAATGATACATTAAAATTAATAATAATTATTGTACTACAGAACGATCAGTGGTGAATTGTAATGGGCCAAATTTGAAAGGTGTTCGTGGAAAAGCATTAATTTACATATTGAAGATAATCTTAGTTGTTAGTGGCGATTTATAAAGAAATATAAAGAGACAACATCTTGGCTTCCGTTGGCAGTGTACGCGGACAAAGTTGTGAAAGCCAAGAGTCGAATACCGCATACAATAATAATTAGTAGGCAGTGATAAGTAGGAGTAACGAATGTGAAGAGCAAAAAAAGGAAATACCAAGTGAAGTTGGTGGATGGAGTTTTGAAGACAGACACCATTGTACCTCTACTTACAAATATAGCTATCGAGTCTTATGGGACTGTCGGGTGGTCCTCATTACGTCGACAAGTACAAGTAGCGCATCTCCCGTCCTATCTATTAAACGTATCATTTGGCTTGGGAAGCATCCAAATTGGAGCTGCCTGTCCTGGATGTGATGCGTGCTACCCTCCCTATGATCTACCTTCCGACCTCGTAACCCACGGCAATTACGCGCCCCGCTTGCTTAAATCGAGCTTTACCGTTCTTAAAAGCCGCGCTTGACGAATTTCGAAGCCCCGTACACTTTCACTGCAATTTTCCTGCGCCGATTATGTAAAGTGTTTCGAATCGGACGCATTCTTTCGTGCGTCCCAATCTATTGTTTGGAGGAGTCCCCAGCATCGCCTTTGTTTTTTGGATAATAGACTTTTACCATTTTTAGTAGATTCGAGCTGATGCGCCTAATTGGTCAATTACGCTCATTACAAACTCTACGGTAGCGAGGTAAGCGAGCGGCTAGCGATTAAATCGCTCCCTTCCGCCGCGGGCTCCGTGCTTCGAGACTCCCTCCTCTCCACGTGTACCGGGACGTTCACATTTGCATTCGAAGTGGGAGTCTCGTTCTGCAGACGGCAAAAAAATCCCTTGTCGCGCCTTCCCCTCGTTCGTTTCCCCGCGGGTGGAGTCGCGCTTTTAAAGAGCCCGCCCCTCGGTAGCGAGGTCACGTTCCGTAGGCTCCGCCTCCAGGTCGTACTCGTCCCCCACCAAACGAAAGGCCGCCGACGCGAAGCCAAGACACAAGGGTACCGTGGAACGTTATTCTTGGTCAGTCTGGCCGAGAAGCTTCACTCGAAAGGACGTGAATATTGTATTCGTGGCTCGTGCGCTCTTTCTCTCTCTCTCTCTCTCTCCATCTCTCTATCGTGTTCCCTTTCTTTCTCTCTCTCTCTATCTTACTATATATATATATATATATATATATATATCCCTCTTCACGCGCTCGCCCTTCGTCACTGTTACGTCCTCGTCATTATTCTCATTTAATCTGTGACGTGACTGTTTTGAGGACGTCGTCAACATTGATAAACAGTGCGCGTATTGTCGCAGAAATGAGAAGACTTTAAAAGTGAGTGAGTAGCAGGACAGCAGCGAGACTAGCTTCCGACTTACAGCACAGAGTCGGACCAGTAGCGCATAATCTCGCGCAATAATGACCATTCTCAGGATGACCTCGCCTCTGATCACGGCATCGAGCAGTCCCCCATCGGCCGACAACCAAGAACAGGCTTCGGCCTCACCAATTCTCGCATCCGCTCCGAGACTTAGCTTCTCCGTAGCGGCACTCCTCGCCGACGACTACCGCAGTCGACCTCGCGCCGTCAGCCCGTGTCCGACGGATCTACGCACCGATCCAGGCCGTCGCTACTGCGACTCCCCGGCAAAGGACTTCTCAGTACGGGGTCTCCAACACTGTCCAAAGTCCCCGGCGAGCTCGGGACATGTCTCCGACGCCGAGGACGCCGATAGCCTCGTCGACATCGAGGAGCTGAAAATTGCAGAAGGTAGTGCGATGCCGGGACCGGTGCGCCCAACCCCGGCTTATCTTGCTACGGGTTTCCCAGGACTACGTGGTCTCGCAGCCCTCCACACACCAATTTGGCCAGGAAGTCAGGGTGCGGTAGCCGCCGCTGCCCAAGCCAATTTTTTCCCCCAACACTTTGCCGATCGCACACCACTAAACGGCGCCTTCGGTAAGAACACTTTTCTAATTATCGCGCTTACGGATTATTTACACTAATGTAGAACTCGATAAGCATTAATTTTCCATTTCTTCATAATGTCAATGCTTTGATCAATTTCCAAGTCAATGTAATTATTCATTATTAATTGACATTATATCGATTTGCCGATCGTCGACTTATTTGGTTGGCTATAGAAAATGGCGTAGCGGAGCGTCGACTATCGAGAAAGAATGACGAGTTGCTCGAACATTCTTCGCGCGTTATATAATGGATAGTAGTGGGTGAGATTCGGCTTTCTGCGCCGTCGGACGGCGAATAGTCGCATACACTCAAAAACAAGTAAATCGGGAGGCTCTTGTCGACTCGACGATTATTTCCGGTAGTCGTTTAATGCATTTCATCGCCGACGAGAATAAACAATAGATAAACACAGGCCATCGTATTGACAGGCGTTCGCTTACGCATGCTCGACTAATACCACTTTAAGAAGTTATAGCTTGAGCCCGTAGAGCCTCTTGAAACTTTCGAGCGCACTTCCATCTTTTATCTCGAGGCAGTTTTATGGCAAGAATCGCTTCGGAAATATGCTCAACGGGACGAATCCACTCGAGAGCTCTTAGGGTGTGACTACATTTATCCGTAAATAAACGAGTCTCTCGCTCTTGTTTATTCGGTTTCGCGAGCGAACCTTTTGTCTATATCGACGGGCTAGTGTAAGGGACAGAAAGGGGCGAAGGGCTGGGGAGAGAAAAGAACGAGAACGACGAGGATATTAGGTTATAAAAAAAGTGTCTCCTCGATTGGGGAAAGATACGAGAGTCGCACCATTACGCAATGTCACAAAGCTCGACGGTAGCCTCGGCCATGCGGGGCTGGTTCGCGATCATCTCGTCCTTCGTGGAAGGAAAGTTATCTCAGCGGGATCAGCTAATTATTTCGAATGCGTTCCCGATCGAACCCGGATTAAAAAACGTCCGCGCGGCCGAAAAGGCCCCCGTCCAACGAAGATTCCGAGAGCCGAGACTAATTGGACCCTTAGCCAGCGATACAAAGACAGAACGCCAATTTGAAATTCAGAGCGATCCCCACCATCGTGAGCTACAAATCCGTCAATTGTCTCAAACCAGAGACCGAACTTTGGCCTGGAGTCTTTTCGGAGGGGGGGGGGGACAAGCAAGATGCCGTCGCTCCCATTGCTGGTTGAGCGCGGTGCAAATAACCGGAACTAATTGATGGTCCCGGCGTCTATTTCGGTAACCGTTTCTCTGTATCGGGAGGGATCGCGTAACCGACGGAAACACGTGAAACTTCGTGTTGTAAACACCGCGTGGACCCCGGAGCTAACAGCTGATCCCGAGCTAATTACCGGGATAATCAGCTCGCGCTTATCGAGCTCGTTCTATTTTGAGTGCGGTAATGCCGATCGATGGCTCTGGAATTTGCGATTACTCGAACTTAATGAGGCCGACCTGTGGTTACCCATCGCTCGCCGATTGCGAGAGAACTCGAGTAAAAAGCTGCGGTCGGCGTTATTTGCACCTGCGACCGATCCTCTCTTACATGGACATTCTGCTTTTACTCCCAAGGCAATGGCGAACTCAAGATTAAATGCAATCTGAGGAAACACAGGCCCAACAGAAAGCCCCGCACGCCCTTCACCACGCAGCAGCTCGTTTCCCTTGAAAGAAAGTTCTCCCAAAGGCAGTACCTAAGCGTCGCCGAACGCGCTGAATTCTCCTCCTCCCTCCACCTCACGGAAACGCAGGTAAGTTTTGACAAGCGAGTTCTGAGATCCAGATTTCTTAGACTATTCGTACTAGCTAATCATTAAACGTTCCATTCGTTGCAGGTGAAGATCTGGTTTCAAAATCGACGCGCCAAAGCGAAACGGCTCCAAGAGGCCGAGATCGAGAAGATGCGTCTCACCGCAGTCTCGCAGCATCACACGGCTCTGTACAGTTCACATCCCGGCCTTATGGCCACGGCCGGTCTCTACCCTTTAAGGATGTTGCACCCGGGCTTAGCCTCGGCTGCTCACCATACCGTCACTGGCCAACACCATAATCGAGACTGAAACACTTCATAAGACTGTTGCTCCCTGTACATAGGCCTGTAAATACATCGATCGATCCACGTCCTTAAATTCATCGTCAATCCTTTCGTCGAGTACATACTATGTATTAATCCTATTACACTATTATTAGTACTGCTAATACTATTGCTACTATTAATATTATCACACTACTATTATTACTATTAATGCTATCATTATTAATATTACAATCATTATTACTACACTCATCCGCCCTACACAATTATTGCGTTATTATTATTATTATTATTATTATTATTATTATTATTATTATTATTATTTCTAATATTATTGCTGTTGTTGTTGTTATTGATGTTGGTGCTGTTGTTGTTATTGTTATTATACTACTATCGCGACTACTATTACGATTACTACTACTACTACTGCTACTACTACTGCTACTACTACTACTACTACTACTACTACTACTACTACTACTACTACTACTACTACTACTACTACTACTACTACTACTACTACTACTACTACTACTACTACTACTACTACTACTACTACTACTACTACTACTACTACTGCAACTACTACTATGACTAATTCGACTAATACTACTAATACTATTACCACTACCACTACTACCACCACTACCACTACCACTACCACTACCACTACCACTACCTCTACCACTACCACTACCACTACCACTACCACTACGACTATCATTACTACCACTATAACTACTGCTAATACTGCTACGGTTTACACTGTTACTACTGTTTGTATTGTTATAATTATCATTATTATTATTATCGAACCTAGGGAAGTATGACATACATTGTACATTTACATACATTGTAAATACACACCTTTTTGAGAGATCAAAAAAATTATGTGGCCAAAATTCATGCTCGACGTTTTGGGATTTTCATTTTTGTATAAATGTAAACAGCGCTTAGCAAGTATGATAAAGTATTTAATAAAAAAAATATTAAGCAATGAACAACCACGTGTTATCTTCTCTGCTCTGCTCTGCTCTGATCTCTCTCTCTCTCCCTCTCTCTCTCTCTCTCTCTCTCTCTCTCTCTCTCTCTATCTATCTATCTATCTATCTATCTATCTATCTACCTAACCATCGATCAATACATCTATCGATTTATTCATCTATCCATCAATCTCCATCTCTATCTATCTGTCTATTTCAATCTCTATTCCCTTGCTCTTTATCAGAAACCGGCAGTAAAAGGCGCCGTCATTCCGTCCGACACTTGGCGTTCAGTATTCAGCGCCAATGGAACGGTAAAAAATTATTAACTCCAAGCACAGTAGGGCAAAGTATTTTGAAGCCGCGAGTGGGGCCCGGCTTCCACGAAAAGGAGTAAAAGCGAACGAAGGCAGGATTTATCGGTGACGTTGGAGCGCGGAAAGCGTGACCACAGGGGGAAGCTCGAGACGGTAGGTGCTTTTCGGGTCGGGCTGATCTCGCGGCGTGATAAGGAATTAGCTGAAGAACAGAGGCTCTGTCCGTCGGAACGCGTTCATGTCGCGGCATAAATTAGCCCAGGCAATTAGTTTCAGTATTGGTCGTCTCGGGCGACCAGCACTACCATCTTGATTAGAACCTCCGTCGGTGCGGAAACGGAGCGCGAGAAAAAGGCCCAAGAGACAGTAGCCGAGTTGTGTGTTTGCATAGAGTGCCGCAGTCGATACCGCCACCATCGGCACTGCCACTGCCATTCTCATCACCGCAACAAGCTAATTAGCGATGTTCACCGCGATATCAACGCCCACTTTGGTACTGAGCGCCTAAATATACTCTTGCTTTTTTGGTGAGACTGCCAATTCTTCTCTAAAGTTTTCATCTCTTCAGCTTTTGTAGAGCCGCTTGAATTTCGTTTATGTAATTAGCTGTGCTGTCGCGACTCGTTAATCCAGGAGCCGGTAATTGACATCTTGATTAACGCTTCGAGCGATGAACGTAGAATCAGGACGCACGCATTATTGAAAATTGACGTCGCTATTTTGAGGGAGCGGCCTTATCGTCGCTAAGAAAATTGCATAATGACAACTGCTATCGTTCTCTATACGAGTTATCGTCCTATAACAATGAAGTATAATTTCTAATTAGCATGCGCGCCTGATAAAATTTTCCAAGCACGACGCATCACTCTTTACAAGCTTCCCGGCTTGTTTCTGAATTGAACGACATATTTTTAATCCGACGTTAATATCAAGTTAACAGCTTGATATCAACAAAATTTTCTTGTAAAAATTACTCCGTTATTAATGAGAGAAAGTTCGACATTATTGTATCGTACCGCAGAGATCCTGTAATTTTTATCGTCGATCTTTATTATGACAAAAATTAATTTCACTTATTGACCTCATTTTTGGAAATGTTAATAGATTCTATCGAAAAGATGTATATAACTAAGCTTAAATTAATATGCTAATTAGGGGCTTCTTGTCAAAAATTCTTAATACCGCCAGTACGATATAAGAATATAATTTTATTGGAAATAATACGAAGAACAATTGCATGCTTAAGCTCATATAGCCTATGAATGTAAAATAAAAGAAATTTAAGTTATTTAATAGTAATGCTGCGTCATTAGGCAATGTAGTTAACGAGTGAACAATATATCCGCTCAAGACGATCTGGCTCAAATAGTTTATAACTTTTTTTTTCTTCCATATACAAATATAAATATTATCCCAAGAAAATGGTAATTTATTGTATGGAATAACAGTTTTATTACGTAATTAAATTCATTAAGGAACAATTACGTAAGTATCGTATAAAGAATACCGAATAAATAATATTGCGCGCAACGGGCAACAAAAAATTTACTTTCTATAGGTACCATTAATACACGAATAACTAGCAATTTGTTATTGTGCATAGCTATATCATAGTAGGGTATATAATAAATTAAAGTTGCCTTAAGGCAGGGAGTAACGAATCTGGAGCATTAACAATTAGTAGATCATTAACGTTCGTAATCCGCTTCTCCATGCATTCACAAACATGCACACTTGATATTTAATGAAACATCGATACAGTATCGTTCATTTATCACACATTAACAGATACCGAAGTATAATTTAGCCAGTACACGCTCTGCGAAACGTTTCTACTTTTCCGCACGAGCTCAACAAATATGCATTATGCAATCACCCGATTGTTTATGAAAATTGAAAATTGATAATAGCAGCTCGAGCAAAGGCAATAATAGAATTGAGGAGAAAAGAAAAATCGAGTGAGGCAGTTGGCAAAGCCAACGGTTCAAGCTAATTACCTATTGATTATCATCATCTCATCTGCGCGAGCAGTTAAAACCGCGGCTTGTCACGCGGCAGTTACCAATCGTTGATGCGCAGCACACGCACACTTACACACTCATGGGAGGTAAAAGCTTTATATTGATTAATTCAGGCCACGCATACTTTTTCCCTTGGATTCTAAAGTCTTTGTTAATCACGTGTTTGTTTGATTCGTCGGTTTCTTCGTTTTTCGTTTCTGCTGTACCGTTGGGAAGCAACGAGGAGAGAAATATGACCTGGAAAGCTGAAATTAATTTATTTGTTGGAATCACACCAATTGCTGTAATTAGAGCGTTAGTCACGCTTATTTTATCAGTTATCGCACGCGATCATCACGATTTAAAAAATACGTACGCCCTTCCTTGAGCCCGTCAGACTCTAAGCGTACAGTCTCACCATATTTTAACAATTTTGCTCGCTTTATCTTCACGATTATTTCGATACTTAATTGCTGTCGCATTCTCATTTTATTACAAGTAGTTTACTTTACAATTCCACTCGATGCAATAGAAAACAATCTTGCTTTATGGCGCACTTGCTTAATGGATGATTAAAATTAAAATTGAATCGCTTTGATCAAGTAGATACTTAATGTGATATACTTTCATTACCAAGGTTAATAGGATGATTGTAGCTTGGCAAAATGTCATGGTGAAGAAAATATTTCGAAATTACTATCGAAAAGATTAATTATAATGACGACTTAACAATACATTTATGATATGTTTGAAGAATATTCGCAGATCAATTCGATGTTACGAGCCGATAGTAAAGCCAATCGCGTTATCAGGGACTCGCGACCGCTGGAAAGTACGCATGACGAAATCAGAGAGATTGCATTAAATTGATTAGCGGGACTTATGCAATGAAAATTAATTATCCAGCGATAAATCGCTGGGACGTATTAACGATAGCGATAAAGCCGGGACGCGGCCGAGAGCAGGCGAGGATACAAATCGCTGATTATTTCGGGCTTTCAAGATCCTCGGTTAAATCGTCATGTCACACGCCCGAATAAACTCGTACGCATTACGCAATTAATAAAATTAGCAAATTTCTTGTACTTTATTAAATGAAATTCAACAGGATTCTTATTACCTAACTCCCTTTTATATTTTAAAAGTACTACTCGATATGACTGTCTATAACGACGTCAATAAATGATACATAAGCTTATGTTCGTCATATTTATCGCTTTTTTTTTTATTTATTTATTTATTTTTTTTAATTATAAATGTGTATACAAATCAGAAGAGTATTTCAACGAACGAACTATTCATATTCAGACTCATTAATCATTAAGAAGCGTACTGGTACTGATTTTTCAATTGCCTTTAATCACAATTTTTTATCTGTCAAATATAGTCTTAATATATATAAAAGCCGCAATATAATGTGTATTCAATAACAAGTCATGAAAGATATATTTTAAAGTTTTATTAATTATTGTTAATAACAACGTTACATTGCAGGGGTATCGTAGCCCTAATAATCGTAAGCCGTGATTAGTCGGGCGATTACACTTTCACTTTCACTCATTAACACTCTGTTCAAGTAAGAATCAGGCCACCTGCAGGTGGATCACATATTTTTGAGCGCTCTCGATATAAATAATATATTTTAATATATATCGAGCTCCACGGAATAATTTGTTCCATTGAAGATTTACTTCTAATGAGCTCTCTTATGGAATTGTTGAATATCGAATTACTCGCCCGCAGACATACAACTCCTTAAAAACTATTAAACAAAAAATTTAATTAATACATTCGTGGGCAGCATTTTCACATTCGACTCAATTAAATAAACATTAAAAGTAAATATTTATCGGCTCGTTAAATGTGTACAATTATTTTTGTAATTAAGCGATTAGCTATTTCATTCGTTCTTTAGATGGGACCGCGCTGAGCAAAGAAAAAAGTTACTTCTGACACTGACTCCGCTCA